GAAGGCAAATTTGAACTAGTTTTTGAATGAAATTGATTAAAGATCAGTTAGGACTGCCTTAGACCCAGTGAATATTTGTGGGTAAAACATAGCCAAAATAACTCAAGTTAGAAAGCAGTATATTGAAGCCCAGAGAGGCAGAGAACACATCACAGAGACTTTTGCATAATAGAAGTTCCATTAAAATTTGATTCATTAACGTCTGGGGATCTAGCTCAGTGGTTCTGGTGCCTGCCTCACAAGTGCCAGGGCCCGAGTTTGATCCCTGGTACCAAAAAAAAAAAAAAAAAAAAAAAAAAAAAGATTTGATTCATTAAGATGTTCAATTAAGACTTGATTAATTCAAGTATATGTATAATAACTGCAGGATTTTATTCTCGCAACAATGTACCATTCCATCTCTAAGTTGTATTTTCCCATATTCTGGACTCTTGATTTATCCATTAGGTCTGGATAGAATGGGAAAGTCTTAAGAGAAGCATCTTATGAATTTGTTTACTGGCCTCCAGTCCTTCACATAATTCAGGCACATTTGTAGTTTGGTTTAAGATTATAGCCTCTTAAAAGCAGGAATAGGTTTTTTAGTGATCATAGAAATGTCCTGAAAGTCAGCTTAGTTATTGGAAGCAGGTTTGGGCCAGAATACAGAAATCGGTGTTGCTTATGTTGCTCTGAGGCCTGTGTTACAATTTTCATGACAAGCTGAGGTTTTACTTTCAGTCTATTATTGACAGACAGGCTTATGAAGTTTCTTTTTAAAAAATTATCTGAACTTTGAAAATTGAGGTGAAATATACATAACATTAAATTTACTGTTTTTAACATTTTAAAAGTACAGTTCTGTGTCATTAAAGCACATTTACATTTTTTGGGGCCACTTATCTCCAGACTTTTCATCTTACAAAACTGACACTCTGAACCTACTAAATTCTCCATTCTCCCCTTCCCTCAACCCCTGATACCTGATACCTACCCTTCTAATGAGACTCATTCTCTATGAGTGTGGCTATTGTAGGTTGTTAATATAAATGGAATCATAAAGTATTTATGTTTTCTTACTGTCATGTTTCACCATAGTGCCTTCAAGGTTTATTCACATTTTTGCATGTATCAGAACTTCCTTCCTTTTTAGGGCTAAATAGTATTTTGTTGAATTGTGTGTATAATACCCTATTTTGTTTATTCACATTGGATTGTTTCTGCCTTTTGGCTCTCTTGAATCATGCTGCTTCAAGCATTGGTGTACATCTATTCAAATTCCTGCTTTCAGTTGGTTACTTTGCTTTCAATCTTTTTGTGTCAAGCCTCCTTACCTAGTATTTATTTAACAATCTTAGAATTCCTTAAAAACTACGCTCTTTTTCCATCACTATGAGAAAGGCAGAATGGAAGAGTACTTGACATTACCCATTCCCTTAATGGCAGTTCAAAATTGGCTCCAGCTTTTCACAAATTAGGATGATGGGTTGTGCTTCTTTGTTGTTAGATTTTTGTATCCATTATCCACTTTAAGCCATAATGAAGTAGCATGTCATGTTTTTCTAATGATTAATATCTGCCATATTTAGTCTTAATGCAGATGGCACTGAGGCTGGCACTCAGCACTTAGGAGGGTGTAGGGCAAGAGGATTGCCCTGAGTTTGAGGCTAGTCTGGACTACATAGTAAGTTCAAGGCCAGCCTTAAATACATAGTGAGACCCTGTCACAAAAAGCAAAAAGAGTACTGATATTTTCAAAGTTTGGTTAAAACCCATAAGAATATATATAAAATGAAACATCTTGAGTTGTGTGCTCCCCTCTCACTGGAGATTATACCCAGGGCCTTGTGCATGCTAACGAAGTGCTCTATCACTGAGCTACATCTCCCAACCCTGTTTTTTAAAAAAACAGAGACAGGCCGGGGATTTAGCCCAGTGTTTCCAGCACCTGCCTTGCAAGCGTAAGGTCCTGAATTCAATCCCTGGTACCAAAAAACAAACAAACAAACAAAAACAAACAAACAGATACAGAATCTCACCAAATTGTCCAACCTGGTTTTGAACTTGTGATCTTTTTGCCTCAGCCTTCCTAGTGGCTAGGATTACATATGTGTGCCACCATACCTGGCTTGAGCTTTTATTATAGAAATTTGTCCTACATACTTTAATATCATTTAAGATTTACATATATGTATCAGTGGTTTTCAAGATTTTTGGTGTCAAGACCCTTTATTTTTGTTTAATTCATAAGAAATTATTGAAAACCCAGTGAGCTATTATTTATATGGTTATCTATTGATCTATACCATATGAAAAAATTAAAGCAAATATCTCAAAGAATCTAACTCATTTTTTGAAATCCATTAAATAAGTAATATTTTTATAAAAAATAACTTCTAAAATAAATTTATTAAGGATATGTACTATTTTATATTTTGGCAATTATTTCTAGTGTCTAGCTTGTTAAAAGGGCTAGGTACTCATTTAGTTCTGCATTTTATCTGTTGCAATATGTTGTTTTGGTTGAAATGTATAAAGAAAATCTAATCTTACACCAACAGTTGAAAAAATACTATTTTAATATTTTTTTCATAGAACCTTGAATATTTTTCTTTGATATTAGACCCAAATGCAACAAGTTGTAGTTTTTTAAAGGTTAGCATAGAATTTTGAAATCTATCAATTTTTCATACTTAGTTACATTAAAATCCATTTGTCTTGTGCCTTGAATGGATCTTTTATTCAGGTACAATTTCTGTTATCATTAGACATTTGGAAAATACTGGTTCACCAAGGATGTGAGTATTTCAGATATTGACATATATTACTCTATTTTGTATTGTGACAAAATACCCTGAGGCTGGGTAACTTATAAATTAAAAGGTCTATTTCATGTATAGTTTTGGAGGCTGAGGCTCCAAAATTGGTTAGTTCCATCTGTTGGCCTCTGGTAAGTGCCTACGCCTGTGTCATAATGTGGTAGATAATGTCCTGTACCAGAAGCACTTGTGAGAGATCCCATGGCTATAGAGGAAGCAAGAGAAATCAGGAAGAGGCCAGGCTCATTGTTTTACAACAGGCTGCTCTGTTAGGAGCTAATCCATTACTGTGAGACCTAACCCACTACATAAGACCAACATTGACCCCTTTATAAGATTGGTTACAATGCAGTCACCCCCATTAGTTTCCACCTCGTAAAGGTCCAACTGTGTTTCGGTACTGCCGTTGTGGGGACCAAACTTCCAGTACCTGAACCTGTGGAAGACAAACCACATCCAGACTATAGCAGCACAGTATAAAATACAAAATAAAAAAATACATTTATTAGTTTTTTACCCAATTTTATGAGTAACATCTTTAAGTTTTAGTGAGCTGTTAAGTTCTTAGTGACATACATTGATTTTTCTGAATTCTAATTTTAACTTGAAAGCTCAGTTTTATCATTGGCAACAAATACTGTCAGTTGTTTTCTTTGTAGTAAGGGACTCACTTTGTTCATGTTCAAGAAAATGTCTGCCAAATACCCAAATCAGATAACCATAGTTTATAATTTTTTTTCAGTAAACATGGTATGTATACCATGAAAAAAAAAAACCAATTTAAATTTGCAATTTAAACTGCAGCACAAATGCTTTTTCTTGGGATTACATGTATAGTAGTCATTAGAAGCACTTACTATTTTAAAACACTATTAAGCTATGAACTAGCAGCCGGGGATGTAGCTCAGCGGTTCGGTGGCGTGCCTTGCAAGCGCAAGGACCTGAGTTCAATCCCCGGTACCAAAAAAAAAAACCCCAAAAAACAAAAAACTATGAATTTGAGGATCAATATTTAGTAAATTTTTAATTAAATTAGTAATTTTTACTGCTGCCAGATATATTGTTGTTTGTATCTGTATTTTCAATTACTTGGGAGGCTGAATCAGCGGGTGAATCATGAGTTTGAGTCCAGATTGGGCATCATAACAGTATTCTGTCTCAAAAAAAAAAAAAAAAGTAATACTTTTTTACCATTGGATTAAATACATTCAAAAGTGAAACTGACTAAAAAATTTATGGACTACTGATTAACAATAGCCCTCCTCTCTTGCTTAGTACTAGAGCTGACAGTTTGATCTCTGTTGCTTTTGCACCATTGTTACAAATGTGACACAGAGAAGACAGCAGAATTTGTCCTTGTATTACTATGAAAGTACTTTTTATAAGAGAATCTTGCTGGGACTTGATTTCATAAGCCAGTGGTGCTCAAGGTTCTTTTGATCAGCAAAATTAGCATGTCTCATGATAGAAATGCAAATACTGTGGCCCTGCTCTGGCTCTTCAGCATCTGTAAATTCACTGCTGCATATAAGAAAGTTTACTCTGAGAGCCCTGTAGAATGGGAGTGGGGAAGTTAGAGACAAACTTGCAGCCTCTGTAGAGGATATGATGTAAGCCTGTAATTCAAGCAGTAGGAAGGAAGATAAGGGTGAATTTGCTAGAGATAGATTGTCTAGGACTGTTGCTCATGGACAATTTAAAAGCTAAACAAACATCTGGGACCTGCCAACAGTCAAGGACAGAGGGCTTTTAAAGGCTTTTGCTGCTTTGTGTCCTTAGGACTATCTTTAACTGATCGGGAAAAGATCAGTTCAGAGCTTCTCTAGCCTCTTGAGTCTCCTTTTAGAGAATGCGAGATTTATCAGAGATCGTGGCCTTTGAAGGAATAAAGTTGCACATTTAGGGCCCACAGTATTAGGACAGTATAATGCAAAAAATTGAGATAATGATTTTATTCAGATAATGCCTAGCCACAGGTAAATTTAATACGATGGTACATGCTAGTCAAACAATGGTATATTTTCCTGAAATTCATATCCTTTTGCTACTTTAATTTTACCTATTAGTGCAGTCATTTGATAGATTGTAAGTGTAAAGATGGGTCTCCAATTTCAGTTATAGCAGTTATTCTGTTAGAACTTTTACTACTTAATGTTTTAAAGTTCTTTTTTTCATATCTTTTTTGTTTTGTTTTACAGATTTGTAAGACTCCAACGCCTTCAAGCCAAGATCAACCTGATGGTTCCTGAAATAACTGGGGAAACAAATGCTTCAAGTGCTAGTTGAAGAGTGTGTTTATGTATATTTGAAACCTTCTTTCTATATATACACATTTACATGAGAAGACAGGCTCATTCTTGTGCACATTTGGGAGTTTTACAACTGATGAAATTTAATTTAAGAATCAGATGGAGCAACTTGACATTGCTGGGCACAGGAGCCCAGGGAGAAAAGTATATCACTAATGGCCAATTTTCCATATGGCCTTCATGGGTAAAGAGAATTTGCAAAAAGAAGAAAAAAAATTGCGTAGATTAAGCCTCAAAAATACCTCTCCAATTTAAAGAAGGAAATAGAAGGTGATCACAGAAGTGTGAATTCAACATTGCAGGTGGGATCATGCAGTGTTTTTGCACTTTATTTTTAATTAGGTTTGGTGATTTGGACAGAATTTAAAATTCTGGACTGAAAAGTAACTTTTACTGTGGTTGTGACAAGGAAAGCAAGTTCAGGTGTGATGGGGCAAGTCTGAACATTGAACTAATTCCATCACTTTGCCCTTTTCAGTTAACTGTATTTGAGGATTTTAATTTATTATTTTCCTTTTCTGTACCTGTAGGATATCTTAAAATAGCATTTGGAACCATTAATTACAAAAGTAAACATCAAGGAAAACCCAAGCAAAGCATCCTTTTGCCTGGATGAAAGGCTGTGGAAACAAGCTCTGAATGTGAACAAGAAGGTGCCCATCTGCACAGTGACTCTGGGGCAATTGTGCAATCCTAGGGACTCTGATGCTAGCCTGGGTGTGTGGTTAGAGGGATTATCAGCTGTATTGAGTCTAAGAACACTTGCATATGAGAAGATTACTTGATGGACTTAATGCTGAGATTATTTTTTTTCATTGAAATGAAGAAGTACATGAGCTTTAGGAATAGAGAAGAAGTAACTGGAAAGTGAGAAAGAGTCCACCAAAAGAAACACGAGTGTTACTCTGTTAGCAAGCAGAATTAGGACTACCCTAAGGCAAATACTTGGTCTGCTTTAATAGCTTTAGTCTGCCTCTGCTGAAGGACCTTGCTTTTTAGCCTCTATGGCACTGAGGGGTCTGCTGGCTGGCAGAGGAGTTGTCCCAGGGAACCCTGCGTTCCCAGGGGACACAGGGCCCAGCATTAAGATAGGAAATTCCTGGTTCTGAATAGTGAGGAAGAGTGTTTTTCTTCCTAAAATTGGACTGCTGTCTGCACAAACTCTGGTCTATTTTGCACAGTTTGTGTGCCTTTATTTCCCTTTATGCAATCTTTTTCAGCTTTTGCAGCAGAAATTTGTCTAGTTCAGAAAACATGCCAGAGGGTGGCTATAGAAGATGATCCTGTATGTTCTGTCTCTACATCTGAACTTTTGAAGAGAAAATTCCAGCTAGAAGGATTCTTAAAAAGCCTTAAGTTACTTGAAATCTATGTATTGAAACTCTTAGTCTCTGGAATCACATTACACAAAACTGGAATCTCAGGCTGAATGAGAATAACTAAGTTCAGTAAAAAAGAAGAAATCTGTTTCTTGATCACCACTTATTAATGATGCTCTTTCTCCAAAGGAACAGTGTATTCTTCCTCTAAGGACTTGAAAATAAAAATGGACCCCATGTTTTTTTTAAGCATTACCTTTTCTTAGCAGACTGCCATCATCTTTTATAGAGGAATTTTTTCACTATGCATTTGGTGGATCTTTATAAAATACTGACCTTCTAAGCTTCAAGTCAGTCTTAACTAAAAGGGGGGAAAACCAAGCACGTCAATCCCAAAAATAAAATAAACCAATAAAGAAATTGGTTTAAGATTTTCAGCATTAACCATTACTTTTTAAGTAAAATAATTCATTGAAAAAAGTATGTATGCAGCAGTAGAACATGGACCTGTGCTTTGCAGCGACTCCAACATCCTCTGCCTGTCCTGGAAGGGTCGCGTTCCCAAGAGTGAGAAAGAGAAGCCTGTGTGTAGGAGGCGCTACTATGAGGAAGGCTGGCTGGCCACAGGCAATGGGCGCGGTGTAGTGGGGGTGACTTTCACCTCCAGCCATTGTCGCAGGGACAGGAGTACTCCACAGAGGATAAACTTCAACCTCCGGGGCCACAATAGTGAGGTGAGGTGTGATTTTTATTTTGCTTTTTGCCTGGTAATTTTAGTTGCCTTTTAAGATCCTCTTGCATTTGAAATGTCCTTTACTCTTAATTTCTTAGTCTTGCTGCTAGTGAGACTCATTCTTCTGAACTGTTTCCTGTTCTCTAGTAGGAAAGATGCTAAGGTCGCCACACAGTTCGCAGTGGACTGTGAGTGAACTAAATGGGTCATTTGTCCCCCATGTCCCTGTTTTCCTCTCTGCCTGAGAGTGGCAGCTGCCTGTCTGATGCCCAGTGACAGGGAGGCCAGGGTACTTTCTCTCCATGTCTGGGGTAATTTCTTATGCTCCAAGTCTCCACAGCAAATAGTGACCACTACCAACATGTAAGACTGTGAAAGTAAAAATGGTGCTGTCTTCACCTCACCAAGGTAATACCTGTATTTCTTTGGTGAGGGTTTAACACTTGACTTGTATTTCTTGGAATTGAAAAGAAGTCATTAATTGGACAACAGCCATAATTTTTCCTTACTCTGAGATCTGCTGTGTTGGGCTTATTATGCTATGTATATATACATACATACAGATTTCTTTGGTCTTCTAATTCAGAAACTGGTATTGTCTTTGAAATTTATTGTGAATTTCAACTAAATTTACTGAGCAAAGTTTGTATGTTAGGCACTATGTTTAAAAGAAGACCATGACTGATAATTTCTTGTAAATAATGTTACAAATGTGTACTTGTATAGCATTTTGACAGTATTCGTGTTTTATTTACTAGCTTTCTTTCAGGGTGTTTTCTTATGAGTAATCAATGCCTACATCGGGCATCTTAAAATGTCACTTATGGTTACTGAAAAGCTGTTGTAGAGAAGCAAAAATATTTTTGGAGTATATGTCTTAGTCCATTTAGCCTGCTATAACAAAATATTACAGATTGGGGGGGCTGATTAATATATAAACTTATTTCAAATAGTTTTGGAAATTGGAAGTCTGAGATTAGGTGCCAACATGTTAGATTCTGGTAGGGCCTTCAGGGTTGTACAGTGATGTTTTCTCTTTGATGGAATGAGCTTGAGTGTTTCTCTGGGACCTCTCAGGAGACTACCAGTTCCATCTTTTCCTAAAGGCCCCACTTCCTAATTCCATTGCCTTGAGGTTAGGATTTCAATGAATTAATTTTGAGCAAACTACTTAACACATATTAAAGTGTTACTATATTATGTACATCTTAGTGTTGATTTATATGTACAAATACCCATGGAAGCCCCAGCCAGATCAAAATATAGAACAGTTCTACCACCTGTTACAGGGCCTGTTTGCTCCTTCCTAAATTTATATTCCATCTTAGTTCATTCTTGTTGCTATAACAAAACACCTTAGAATAATTTAGAAACAACAAAAATTTATTGGTCATTATTCTGAAGCTTGCAAAGTCCCAGATCAGTTCTCTAGCAGATTGACTAAATATGTCTGGTGGAGATTTGCTTTCTGCTTCCTAGATAGTGTCTTGTTGGTCCATGAGATAGTAGTCTCCCTCAAGCTTCTTTTTATTTTTTGAGATGGGGCCTTGCTATATAGTCTAGTCTGGCCTTGAACTGTGTAGCCCAGGCTGGCCTCACTCTCACAGAGATCCTCCTGCCTCAGCTTCCAGAGTGCTGGGATTATAGGCATGTGCCACCACACCCAGCTCCCTCAAACTTTCTTTATAAGGGCACTAATCCCACTCATCAAGGCAGAGTCCATGTGATCTAATTGACTTCTAAAGTCCATACCTCTTAATTCCATCGCAGTGGAGGTATAAATTTTCAGGTGAATTTTGTCAAGACACATTCATGTCATAACAACCCCACTGAGAGGTAATCCACATTTTTTATTGCATATTTTGTGTGTATGGCTACTTTCATTAACAAGAATATGTGTGAGAATCATCTTTGTGTGCATACTATTTGTTTTTAATTGATATTAATTTTCTATCAGAGAAAGATAACCATAATTTTTTCATTATTCTGTTGATAGCATTTGGATTACTTCCAGTTTGAGGCTATTCTAACTAACACTCCTGTGAATATCTGTGTGCAGTGCATGTCTTTCTTTAGAATTTCTGAGCCACAGTATTGGCATATGAGGTTTGACAGTTAGTTTGACAATTTTGTTATTGCCAAATAATTTTCTGAAGTGATTGTACCATTTTATACCACACCATCAAGGTATAAAAGTTTTGACAAGGGGAAAAAATGAGAACCAAGATCTGTCATGTAAAGGTGCAAGATCCCAATGATGAATGTAAATGTACTGTATACCTAAAATGTACCAATAAACTCAGTGAGAGGAAAAAAAAGGTATAAAAGTTTTAGTTGTGAAGCCAGATGTATTTTGATATTCTTTTCCTTAGTCTGAGTTTAATTTACTAAGAACATTCTTTTGAGTGAAAAATAATGTTTTATAGACATTGTCATACAACATTGGGTACATATACAAATAAATACATTACTGTACTTTTAAGTGGCCACTCTTTTAAAAGATACAATTTTCAGACTGGGGATTTAGCTTGGTGGTGCTGCTTCCTGCTTTGCAAGCTCAAAATCCTGAGTTTGATCCTTGATACCAAAAAAAAAGAAAACCACAATTTTCTGTTGATGTGTAATAAATTACTACAAACTTGATGGCTTAAACCAGCACCCTTTTCAAGTCTCACAGTGCTTGAAGGTCTGAAATCTTTCATAGTGTGACTTGGCTTCTGCTCAAGATCTCACAGGCTTGGAGATACAGTGCCAGCTGCAACTGGGAGCACCTCTGAGGCTCAGGACCCTCATTCGGGCTTATGCAGGTTGTTGGGTTTGTAGGACTGAGACGTTTGGACTCTACTGGCTGTTCATTGGACCTGCTATAGTGGCTTCTCCACAGTATACATTTGGTCTTCAAAGCCAACAGGAAAGCCTCTACTGTACCTTTCAATATTCTGATCCATTTTGAATGTAGTTTAGCACACGTGAGAGATATGGGTCTAGATATAGTCTTCTGCATGTGGAACCAGTTTCCCCAGCACCATTTACTAAAGAGGCTGTCTTTCCTCCAGTGTGTGTTTTTTGGCCCCTTTGTCAAAGATTAAACCATAGAATGTACTTGGTATTGTTTATGCATCTTCTGTTCTCTTCCATTGATTCACGTGTCTGTTTTTTGTCAGAATCACACTGATTTTATCACTATGGCTTTGTGATATAACTTCAAAACTGTGATGTGATGCCTCTGGCTTTGGTCTTTTTGCCCAGACTAGCTTTTGCTATTGAGTCTCTTCTGGTTCCATATATATTTTAGGATTGTTTTCTTTAGTTTTGTGAATAATGCTGTTAGTATTTTGATAGGGATTGCTTTAAATCTGTTGATCAATTTTGGAAGTATGGCAATTTTGACTATATTGATTGTGCCTGTGCAGGAACAGAGGATATCTTTATATTTTCTGATGTACTCTATCGTCTCCTTTTGTGGAGTGCTGTAGTTTTCATTGTAGAGATCTTTCACTTTCTTGGTTAAGTTAATTCCTAAATATTTAATTTTTCTTGATATTATTGTGAATTGTATTTTTTTCCTAATTTCTCTCTCAGTAAGTTCACTACTGGTTTACAGGAGCGCTGTTGATTTTTGTGTGTTGATTTTGTATCCTGCTTCATTGCTAAATTTGGTTATTAACTCTAGGAGTCTTTTGGTGGAATTTCTTTGAGTCTTCTATGTAGAGTATCATGTCATCCTCAAATGATGATACTGTGATTTCATCCTTTTCTATACAACCCCACCCCCACCCCTGTACCAGAAGTTGAACTCAGGACCTTGAGCTTGTGAGGCAGGTGTGGTACCACTGAGCTAAATCCCCGGCCCATCCCTTTTATTTCTTTTGTCTGACTCTTCTTTCTGATAATTTTGAGTACTATATTGAACAGGAATGGGCATTCTTGTCTTGCTCCTGATTTTAGAGGAAAAACTTTCAGCTTTTCCCCATTTAGTATGATGTTGGCAGTAAGTTTATCATAAATCACTTCTATCAGATTGAGGTAATGTCCTTCTATATCTATTTTCTTCAGTTTTTAAAATTATAAATGGATGTTGGATTTTGTCAATGGTTTTTTCATTTTGCATCTGTCAAAATGATCGATATTATTTTGGTCCTTTTTATGATGTATTACATTTAGTAATTTGTATATGTTGAACCATTCTTGCATCTCTGGATGACGCCTACTTGGTCATGATATAATTTGAACTTACAGTCTTCTGTTTGAGCTTCTCAGAGTGTTGGGACGACTGGTGTATGCTACTATGCCTGGCTATCTTTGAAACTTTTTTTTTTATTAAAGATTGCAAAGATACATGATAACAAGAAATGAAGATACTAAATAAAAATTTCAAATATACATATTTATGGCAGCAAAAAAAGGCTATGAAATCAACAAGAATTTATGTAACACAGACTAATCGAAATACATTAGTTTGATATGATCTTCAAACATTATGTTCTTTCTCATTTTCTATAATATTTTTGAAATAATGTGTTTATAAATAAAACAAAGTTACATATTATAGTTGAGAAACTGTCCTCAAAATTTTATGATTTATAAACTCCTTGGTTTTATTAATTGATAAATATCATATACTTGTTGATTGTACCACTTACATTTTCTAACAAAACTTCCCACAGAAAAAAATATACTTATATTTGAAATCCAAAATCAACTAAAAAAATTCATTTTTAAGATCATATTTTTCTGTTTCTATTTTATTATATCCCATACTTATTTTTATTATATTTTTATAAGCATAATGATAGAATTTAACACCAATAGATATGTAATATTCTTCCCAAAAAATATTCTTCAAAAGAATGACTATGAATTAAGTCAAGCATGTAATTTAAAGAAATCATACGATTACCAGAGAAACTATCAATATGCCAAATGTGCACAATCCTACCACATTCTTGACCATGTTTCTCATTTAATAGTGCACACATATGTGTAAAAACATACCTCCCA